GGAGAAAAAGTCAAGATACTAAATTATATCCGACCTATTTATACTACCCAGACAGGGTTGGTCAACAAATTGAAAATATATTGTCTATTTATGGTACGCTTGTCCCTGAACGGGCGACTAGTCAAGGTTCGCTTAACCTACATCCCTGCCAGGCCCTGAGGGAGTACGGTGTGACGGAGGCTACAACTCGCGAATATATTAATAAAAGTTACTCAAACACTCCACACGTGCCTGCATTATTTAAATTGATCGTATATCCCGTAGCTACACACGATTGGTCGAGCACCCTCACTGACCTATATTCGCCAATAATTCTACATTCAGTGTTCAGTTACGATGCGGGTCTTCAATGAAGTTTTATTGAAACGTTTCTGCATAATCATTTGTATTGTTCTCGAAACGTCACGAATCTTGGAATGAGGCTTCTGGATTCGATGTTTGGTGATGAGTGATGGGTGATGATCCATAGCCCGGTGCGTGCTTCGCTATGTATAAGGCATAGTAATATTTTTTTTTTATTTAGTATGAATTTTATTCAAACAAAACATATTTCAAGTTTTTTTTCTCTAACTGCAAACCTTTTCTGGACTTCCACGAATAATTGAAGACCAATATTAGCCAAATCGATAGAGGCATTGTTGAGAACATTACAACGAAAAGTGGCATTGATTTTTTTTATACAGACTTAGCAAAGAGTATTTCTTCATTTAATAGTTTCCTACCCTTTATAAAGTTTTCTACTCACTTGACGCATGCAAAAACACAAGAGTAATTTATGTAACGCAAGTAAGCCTACGAAGGGAATTTCGCAAAATTCTCGATGACGCAGGAAAAATGGGGATAGATATTCCTACGCGTAGAATGGCCGCGGGCTGAGCGGTTGTTTTCTATTTTATCAATAACATTGGGGTTCAATAGATCGAGTTATGACACAATCGTTGATGCATGAGAGCTATTGTGTAGTAAATAACATGAGACAAGCCCAGCAGGGTGTATTGGGATGGTCACTGGTTCCCGAACGGTCGGTCGCCGGCCGACGCCAGCGGATGCAGCCTAATGACATAAATGCAAATTCGACCATTCGAGCTTCCTGCACGTCGCAGCGCGAGTACGCCCGTACACGCTACACACATACACTCTCTCCTTTTATGGACATATTTAGAAAAATAAGCACCATTTCAGATACAAGTTTTTGTACCTACAACTCAGCCTTAATTGGATATAGCTGCTCAAGTTATTTAATCAACATTTTTTCTGCGCATTATTTAGTTAATTAAGAGCTTATCTGATATGAGTGATGTGGTTTTCGTACATTCCGATGTTGTAGTGCATTAGACACGCCTATAAATCCCGTGGCGACCGCAAGTCGTTAACTTGAAGCGACGTATGCTGTTGAAATAAAACCAAACAGTAGTTTCTCTTGTTTTTATTACTCGGTGATCGTTAACACAATATAAAGTACTATATTTTGGTTCAGTCGGGAACTTAAAAAAGAACTAAACGCTAAATTTTGGTACAAGCCAACGCGAACTGTACCGGTGGTGTGCTATGGTACATACAATACATAACTTGAAGGATTCTAGTTTATTATGTCACCACAAAAGGTTTTCGTGGTCTACATGTGTCACTGATGATAGACCTGAGTGATTTGACTGAGGACCTTAAGGAGCACGAAATCTGGGAGTGTGACACTCGTTGCGCAGGAAAAGTGAAACCAGAGATGGGAGCCCGTTGGGTGCAAATGTAGGGGGATGTCGGGCATTTGAGTATAATTTACTCTGCAGGCGTATTGCAACCAAACTAAGATGTTTCAAATAGAAAGACGTCGTGCTTGACGAGCTTATGACCCAACCATCAGCGGCTAAACAACAAAATTGAATCGGAAAAGTGCCTTAAGTCGGCACCATAAGGGCGAGTATACACTGTTTTACTTTATCAGTCACCTTAGGATGCTCTTATTAACCATACGGTAGCCAAAATCGGTCAGGATCAACTTAAACAATACACTGGGATCGGTCTATCATCACTGACACAACTATTAGCAGCCAATAAGCCTGATATAGTGGTGATCAGGATTATTATTCTTATTATGGCTAACTTATCTTATGGCTTATGCACCCATCGTTTATAAGTTATCCACGTCACTTAGACCAATATACTTGCTAAGAATTTACTATATACACTTGTAAAGCATACAGAGTATCAAGGCAATTACCAAAGTAAAACGCTTCATCAAATTTCAAATAAGGATTTCTGCAAAACATTGGGTGCAAACGTTTTTTTTTATATCACAGGGCTTAGCGTTATTTTACACACAGAAAAATATACATACTTTATCAATACTTAATACTAATTCGATAAACTAATTATGAGAGTAACATCGATATTGAGATAGCTCTCAAATTAATGAGATAAATAAAATTGTACAGTCGCCGACAGCGTGATCTATCAAAGTGTTACTCGTCGATAATGTGTATATCGATCTAAATAACAGTTGGATAGATGCTGTATCGGAGCGTACAGCTACAAAGTAATTCGTAAAATGTCTTTTTGTCTACGTATGTATAAAGAAATAGCTCCATGCACACTGGCTTGCGTACAATTCAGTATAAAGGACTAAATTGAAGTGACCTACAAACGTTATTGTCAAGAGCCGGCGTATCAATCTCTTGTGTTGTAGCATCCACACTCTTCACGTTAATTGGAGCCGGCTTCAGAACATATTCATTTTACAAATTATATACACGACTACATACAATCTGCACCATTGTCAATACACGGAACATTACAATTGGATATAACATTTTATACAATTTCATTTTAATAAGATTTACAAATACGTACACATTTCCAATTTCGAAATTTTAAGAAATAATTAAAATGCACAGATAAAAATCGTCTAACGTTATACAAAAAAAATTGTACTTAAATGCAGCAAATATGGAATATAAAAAAAGAAAAAGAAAATGGCGCCGTGAATTACTTTGTTCGAACAGACAAGTTACAGCAAATGTTTGGTGAAAAAGTGTTTATAAAGTCTGCCGTGACTCAGTACGACAGTTTGAAATACTTTAAAAAACAAAATTCGCTTTGATACACCATTCTCGTATACTTTGCTGAGTTGAAAATCTTTACTTTAAACTTTGTTACGTCGGTGTAGAGTTTAGAATGGAGTACTGGGGGGTAGAATACAAAATGCACTCGTACTAAGAATAAATGCAAACAGTTGTGTATAGGTCTGTGTTGCAGTTTACTTTCGCTATTGCTGCTTGAATGCTATATTTCAAATTCAATACAGTACTGTGAGTACGTCGACATCGGCATCGTGTAAAATAATAGAACGCTTTTATTTCTCTTTTAAAATTGAAAATGGCATTGTTTGTGCTCGCATTATTTTCGTTTTTGCCAGACATTCATACTACTAGTAAAAAGTTCACAACACAAGTAAAATACTACAAAATTATACAAATCAAAACCATAGAGCTTCGAGGTACTAGAAAAAGGTGATGTTTGATCGTTGCTTTATAAAAAAAAACACGTAATCGTGACATTGATGTAACATAATTATCAGACTTCTATTAATAGATGGAAACTAAAATAAATATAAAAATAAAAAAAAGAGCTGAACTTATCACGTAGGTACTTATTAGCTGTATACGAAAAGTTGATAAACATAATTAAAATAACTAACTAATAGACAACATATGGAACACAATCGTAATATTTACAGCTGCATGGTTACACAGTACTTAGTAAGGACTTATGAGTAAATTGTCCATTGGCCAAGTTTAATTAAAAACATAACATTACTTCTTTGTTTTCAATTAAACATTAACCAAATAAAAAGACCCCCTAAAACGAAAACTTACTTCAAACTTAACTCAATATGAGAACAAACATACATAGCACTCATTCTTGTTCTTTGGTCAAAATTTAATGAGAATTTTATTGTTAACCAATTCAAACAAATCGAATAGAAAACGGACTCGACTATTGAATGGACTTATTCAAATGCTTTTACATTTCACTAGTTAGTTTAGGTACTGTAGCTGAACTAAATATAGAGGCACTAGAACGCTGAGTGCACTCGAGATACCATCAACCCTCGAGAATGGCAAATGTATAATATTTGCGGTGCATACAATTTCGTACGTAGCTTTGTCTTTTGACGTCGACTGTACATTACGTATTAATAGACTGATTCCCTTTGTTCCGCGCTCACCGGGCTGGGCGCGACCGCTGCGGTACTAACGATATCGATAGAGAACTAAAAGTAAAATTAAATATTACTCCGATGTTATCGATACTCGATCCCGGACCATTCATATTGAGGGCGTTCAACGAATACCTACTCCGGTCCACAATATTGTTCGACTCGTGAGTAATAGTAGCAATTACACCAGAAAATAACTACTCGTATAAATCATTCCACACTTTTGAGGTATCCTGAGCAATTTCATTCGATTTCTTATTAATTTATTATTATAAATGCTATTGATAAGCTGGGCTCCGATGTAAGCGGATGGTGGAACAAGCTGCCTATACAACCATTAATAGATACGCTATAATAAACAAATAAGCATTTTATTATTTAGGAACAATGCTAGAAATAATTTGTCAGCTGCAACAATAACTTGTATTATGATAATACTCGTATGAAACGTATCGTTTGAATATAGGAACACGATATAATTCAACAGATAAGTAACACAATTAGCTGCACATTGGTAAGAACGACCGGGCCCCGACATCGGTCCCGTTCTCGATTCTCCCACAATATACTCGACACGATCAATCACCCGTTTCGATTCAATCACAAACAATCGCAATTGACCGCATCCTGTTCTCTCGATAAATGAGAAAAGCTGGCGGGAAATAAATTCGGACGTCATCGGCAGTTCACGTCCCGGCCATAACCGCTCACCTCGGAGTCCTTTCACAAGTCCTACTTCGAAGAATTAATGTCCAAGTTCTACTTTCAAACTATTTCGAATACCATAGCCATTGCCGATGACATTGATTCAATTTATTTAAATACTTCGAAATAGGACCTCTGTCACAAATTTCACTGGAAATTACTAGTAACGATTACACTAAAGGCTACACTTCGTTGGGTTCAACCTAGATGCATTACCTACCCTGTATCTATCAAACGTCAACATTCATTCAACAATATAGAACAACATTACATACCTACTACAGATATATTTATAATATATTGTATGTAATTATGTATAGTTATAACTCTATAAGGGATGGATTTAGAGCGCATTTTACAAATAAACAATAAAATGTTGCCAAAGATAAAAAAAATCAATAAAAAATCTAATTTAGAATATTTTTACTATAAATGCACGACGATTAATAAAATAAAGTTATTTGTACAGCGCGATTGTAAATTGTTTTCGTTTACGATCGCTCTGATAAATGTACTTAACGCGTTCTAGTAGTATTTACAAGGTCACAACGAGACCCATGAATAAAAAATAAATTCTTTATTCAATTTGTGTGGTTATCTATGACTAGTGTATGCACTAGGGTGGAGAGGTCGCTGGCGCTGCCTGCAGTCGGGGCAGGTTACTTGCCTTTAGACTTCTCGGTCGTGGCGTCTTCCAAGTTGCTATCCCAGTCAAACTCGGTGACGCCACTGCGCGCCACTTCCCCCAAATGCCGCCACCGGTACTCGAAGTCTGTGTCTCGTTTCTTCAACGCTTCGAATCTGCACACAAGTAATTAGGTCACACCATTGTACAGAATATACAATTATAGAGCACAGGTGTACATACGCTCGGAACCCTTACAACGCTCCAGTCGTGCCGGCTACATATAACTTGCATATCACAAAGCATTATACAGCTCAATTAACAACAAACATACCCTGAATTCCTTAAATTCGTACAAACCTACGCAAACTGAGTACGGCTAAAATTCTCTCCAAGACAAAATTACTTTGACATAGCTATCCGACTTCTGCTGTGCCCGTAGTATCGAGCCATAGAGGAGAAATAAAAGAAATTCTATCGAATCAAGCGTAGCACCGCAAACGTGCGTTATAAAGGCCGCAGATCCCTTTAGATTAGGAACCCAATCTAAAGCGACGTTTCTCAACTTATCCAAGGGGTCAGGGCGCTGACGACACGCCGAGGTCACCACGCAAATATGTATCGTATGCGTACTAAATCTAACCAAGCGTGAATTTCAATACACAATTCGAAATACGGATACACATTTTGTGTAACATTTTATAATATTTATCATTGGAGTAAATAAAAGCTAATATTATATTTCATGGAATACGTAATTACGTGCGAACATGGTACGCGTTGGCATCCCTAACAAAAGGGTTTTGTTATCACCTCCGATATGGAAACCCTAAAACCTTTCACGTCGATAAACCACATTATTAGTGAACCGTGCGAGACGTAAAACAGCCGATCTTTACTTGATAACATTTGGTTTGTGTAAATGTAAAAAATTCGGTCACGCATTCGCCGAGACTCGAAAGCATTCGGGTTTATAAGGAATTTCGTTTTATTCCAACGCTGGGTGTCGAACTACTAAAAACGTTAACAAATAACGGTTTTTGTGCTATCAATGCGATACAAATATAGTAGGAGGGCGAGCTTAGTGTTATGACGCTATCCTCTTTGAAATTGGATTGCGATTGCTATTGCTGAGCCGAGATTGGTGCGAAAATTTGGATTTTATGTAAAACTGGATCCGCGATTGGAAATCGCAAAGAAATTGCGGGCTTCACACTGAACGGAGAAAATAGAAAAGAGGCGATACGTTTACTTCTGATATGACCGGGTCAGAGCGGAGCGTCGTTTAAGTTGGCAAATCGCAGTCGCAGAGTCGACTAAAGTAAATTGAGACATAGAGCATCTATTTGTTTTGTCCTTTACACACTTGCCTTTGTTAATTAATGTAAACATACCTTTTAAACATGAGGTTCTTGGCAAACTCGTAGAGCTCGAGGTCGAGTGAGTTAAGTCGCTTGATGTGTGCGATTTGTGAGGGCGACAGAGCGGCCAGGGTGGCGCCCGACACCGTCGCGTTGTGTTGTGTGAACGGCACCGCGAACAGCAGGTTGAATGTCTCCTCGAACACGTACTGAGATATCTGCACAAAAGCAATACGCTTCATTACACACAAATACATATACAGCCAGCACCACTATGACTCTAATGGAAGTCCTGATCTATTTGTCAAAACCCTACCAATCAGCTTGATGGATCATCAAATTGAAAAGGACTGTAATTACGAGTGCCTTACACAATTAGGGTGCAGATGGCTTGACGCACCCTTTTGCTGGATATACAAAACACTAAGCAACCCCTTGGCATCTGTCAGAGATCAGTTATTCTCATCCGATCACCAGAGCGTAGCACAGTAGGGTGTTGAATGTAAAGCTCAGCAAGAAACCTTTTCTGAAAGATTTCCTTAAACAAGAAATAAACTTTTGTTTACTTCTTTCTCTGTTACTACACCTGACTAATTAAAATGTAGATTTTACTTAACGTAAAATTGGATTAGGTTCTTGTTATTTACTTTTTTTTTTGACAAACAACATCCTCAAATAAACTGTACGTAAAAAAAGCTTGTGAGAGTACGCCATGTCCAATTTTTTTGGCTTCCCTCTTTCTGTCAGCGTTCCAAAAAGATGCTAATATTTGCAGCTCTTTGGAAAAGCGAAACGTAAACGTACATCAATATTGGCAGTTCGTTCGGATCATCTTTACAAATATTTGTAAGTTAAATCGTCTGTTCGTGCATTAGTTTGTTATGAAACAGTGTTATAGTTCGAATCTGGCGTGTTATTTTACTCTATTCGTGACCACAACGCTTTGTGTAACGTCATAAACAAACACGGGCCATTTTAGAATTTAATTGAAGATTTCTTTTCAATCTTTCGATCCACCTTTTAATTGTTTTCATTTTCAGACATAAATTTCTTTTGACTGTTACAGAACATTTATGAAGCAGTAAATTGTTCTTCCTTGTATGCTTTCTAGATTTGTAGTCGAACGATATCCAAGATTTTACCGCCGGATCCGGATACAACGCAAACATTGCAATACAAGGAAATAAAATCGACACATTCACTAAACTAGGCGATGATAAATTCAGACATTACTTAACGGTGGTTTTATTCTTAATATTTAAGTCTCCATTGAATATATTTCCCCGCTTACTTCACAAGTGGAGATGATAACGTATACCATTAATATTTAATTTGGGGCCGTCGCATAAATATTTGCATTACACCAACATTCTAGTGCAAGAGTGTTGATAAATTAGTAGCGAATTAGTCATGCATGTGGTTATGCAGAACTTTAATTACATTATAATTTAACCTTATTTTACATTAATCGCATACATTTCAGATTAATATTCTGTTACACACCAGATGTTTAGTTACCTAACCACATCCTTATCTTATTATAAATCCTAATTAATATTTAAAATGCTTAATTCATTTCACTTGACACGCTTGCATCGATTTTTGGAAAAAAAAAAACATCGGATGCGGAAGAAATAACAGGTCAAAGAAGCAAAGACACTTAAGATAAACGAAAATATTTACCTGAATATACGTTTGTTTATACTCAAAAACCGCACGATACTTAGTTTAGGAATATATGTAGTTCGATACTTTTATCTCAGGACCACGAGCCGAGGTAGGGGGAAAGCACTAGTACGAAATATTCATGAGAAAGTAAACGCTTAAATATTCGACTTTACGTTAGCTAAAAACACAAGCGTCGGTTGCTTTTACGAAATTAAAACTATCCACGGATTATATACACTTTAAGCAGTTTGCTAGCACAGGGACCGTGTTCGAGAGACGCGAGTTCAAGAATAAAAAACGTAAGTTACATGAGGGTTAAAGATTATCTACTCTCGAAATGGCGTCTATCTGTTGGTGAATGGAAGCAATTTATAAGGCGACCGCTCATTGATTAATCGATAAAACCAGTTTATTTTCTTTTTTTGGATTATTGAGTGACTCTTTCTGCCCTGACTGAGGCGAGAGGGAGTGTAAAACCGTTGCATATCCTACTTCAAGCCGGGACGATATGTCTGAGCGCTTGATCCATAACCCCAGTGGGGACTATCGGAACACTGAAGTACCCCAACCCCAGAACCACTGAGTATAACAATTAAAAACTAGCATGAAATACTTGTCTTTCAAAAAACTGTCGACTTAAGTGGTACCTATATACAACCGCACCAACCCTACCACGAATGGGTAATAAACCCTACACCCCACATGACAAGTACTAAAAGGAATCTATTAACACCTCATTTAAAAGAACCAATGAACCTTGTCATGTGCATTTCATTTCTTAACCCTTGCGCTACACGAGGGTATAAAAATAGCACAAATGAAGGGTTATTCTCATAACAGTCGTCATAATATCGCGTTTAATTGTTCCTCGAGAAGGCATTACCTCACGCCGCGTGACAGGTTTCAGTTCGGCTTGACAGTTAAGATTGATTAGCTGCCCATTAACTTGTACTTACGGTGCCTATATTAAAATACGATGACGTGACGGTCAAATTTATTGTCATTTTCATCATTAGCCGTGGCTAATGAATCCGAAAAAAGCTTTACTTAACTGTAGCATTTAGAACAATTAGGTATTTTCAAACATTTTTAGTGTCAGAAAGCCATGCTTTGGCGTGAATTGGCGGGCTCGACCAAAGTGAAACCATGATCTCATATAGAATCGGCGTGAAACACGATTACGTTGTCTTTCGCCTCGATCCCCATCTTCTCCTCAAATCCCTATCCTCCCAAATTCTGCCAACAAACTTGCAATTCTTTTGACGCCGATTGCTTTCAAACAGGTGACGATAAGAAAATAAACGAAGTTTAAGGTTAATTGTCAGATGACTTAAGTTTCGCATCTTCGTTAAATAAATCACATATAAGTTAACTTTACCTGCGAGATTTAAGAACAAATTCTGCCAAACGGGCACCAACAACGCACACCCGACTTCCAAAGAAATATGATAAGGCTTTTAAAACATAATTCGTTATGCGGTAACAAATTATACAAACGTAAAATCGTTTTAAAAACTTCCTTATTTTAGAAAGTCACATAAAAATGATAAAACCGGTGTGCATAAAAAATTATCTACGCCGTAATAAGTTAGGGGACGTGTTTAATTGTTGCATACACGTTAATGTACTAAGTAGTGACGTTACTTGGTAGGTACATTACGTTAGGTACGGTTCACTGGCTGTGCAACCTAGTTTCCATGAAAACCAGCGTTTAACATAACTCCTTACATAAACCATAGTCACGCCTCGGGCGGCACATAAGTAAGTCGGTTCTCACCTACAGTGCAAGTTTCAAGCAAGAAAATGTCAGGTGCCTAACAAGCCATTTCAGCTTCATGAATATCGACGAAAGTATTTATAGGATGAGAAACTGTAAAGAACTTCTAGAAGTTTGAATTGAGCTATCATAGCGTCAACATTGTTATATATTTATTTATATATTTGTTTACCATGAAACCTGTTTATTGAGACATAATTTTCATCTTAAGGTTAACCTGTATCTGTGTCTTAATGCGATTTTTGTATAAAATTTTGGGCCATGACAAAAAACATGGAAGAAAAGTCCCAACGCATGCACGCATTGCAAACTCAATCCTAAAACCAAATAACACAAAGCTTAAAACAAAAAGTATATTGGCTTTACCGCTTTAGTAAAAAAGTTGAGTTAAGCCATACTGTTTATAGATGAGCAATGAATATTCATTTGAACAAAGACCAGTGTGGGTTGGGGCCGGGACGTTGCGGCGACAAATGGCGTTGCAGATACGACAATGATTCAAGTGCAAATAATGGGCGAGCTTATCTTTGCGGGGTCACTGGACAAGGAATAAGTAATACCGGAGGCATAACACATGGGATTTGCGTTCTGCATACGCTGCATTTCCATTTCTGTGACATTGTTGTTCGTACACCATATGTATGTATGAAACATTGCTCCCTTAAGACTGGGCTTTACAAAATACGTACCTACTACGGGTCAGGAATATTGTTGACCACATTGCCTCGGATCTGGCTATACATAATACAATGATAGCTTAGTAACGTCTTGCCATATTTGGCAATACAGACGACGAAACCAAATAGTAAGTACAAATATATGAATCACGGCGAACATATTATTATGTACTTTAAGTGCACGTAGGCCTTGCGGGACAAGCGCAATGGGACACCACGGCTTCGGCCCAGAGCGATGACGAGATGGAACGGGAGGGGGGTTTCAGTCAGTAAGTGTCTCACACTCCCTCCGCTCAACCCAGGGCGGGAGAAGACATGGAATGACTTTCCCCTAAATAAAAAAAAAGTGCATGTAGGCCAATCCATCAGCTACGGTATAAAGTAAGTTAAGAACATCTCTGTCACACCTTTTGTAAGCACTTACGCATTATATGGAGCACACATCCCAACTTTTCAGGTAAAATCCACATACTGCACTTTGTAGTTACATTAGTGTTAGAGTTTTGTATTTTACATACGTAGAAAGTTCAGTGAAGCGAACGACTTCGGTGCCAACGTATATGTGTAAGCAAAAATGGATATTGTGGACATTCCACGAGGAAGATCAAATCGAATGAAGACCCTCCAATGCCATTTCGCAATCCTAAAAAGTATTTCACTTTAGGGAAAAATTTATAGATTTTTATATCTTAAATTGTATTCTTCGTAAAGGGTGATAAGCGTTTGGAATAAATTCGCGAGAATTACTTCAGCGACTGGGTGGAAATATATACGTATTGAAGAGGATGAGGACGACAGACTTATTGGTGACCCATTATTTTTAGATTTATCGTACGCTTAATAAAAAGAGGCCTAACTCAAAATAGACGGTATTTGAATCTTAAATTTATGTTTCAATAATAAAGTTCATTTTTGAAATATCCTCTTTTATGAGTTAGTTCTGTTTACTATTAAACATACCTACATAACACACACATACATCTCATCCATAAATTGGACTGATGCGATGAACTGAATTTTTTAAGTTTGCGATTGAAAATTGAGTAGTATATTAGTTTTAATTCTCTATTATTTAGGGCAAACGATTTATTGGAGAAGTAAGGAGAGTATTTTCAAGAAAAGGTCCAGACATCGCTAACATGCTGCGTAGACAACGGGCGAGGGCTAAATGCGTACTCTCTTAAATTATTGATTAATGCATGAGTGGATTTCGTCGGAAATGTGGAGATAGACACTTAGGCAACTACTAAGAGGAAGGTACGAAGGTACTGGGTGAAGGTAAGTTAAATAATCAATGAGCTAAGAGCGATCTCTCCTAAGATGGGCTTGCTCCAGGAATTCTAAATTGCAATTTCAAGCCTACATCAGCTAAATACAGCCCGGCCTATATTGTCAATCAACATCAAGATGAATTAATTAACACTAAATACGTTGGTTATCTTTAAACTCATCTATACTATTATATCTAATATTATATAGCTGAAGAGTTTGTATAAACGCGCTCATCTCCAGAATTACTGGTTCGAATTAAATAATTATTATGTGTTTCTTAGAAAATTTATCGAGGAAGGCTTTAGGCTATAATACATCAGCTACGAATTGTAGGAAGCGAGCAGCGAGTTAAAACGCACGACAAAAGCTAATATTAAACATAATCACTACATAGTATAAAACAAAGTCGCTTTCTCTGTCCCTATATCCCTATGTATGCTTATATCTTTTAAACTACGCAACAGATTTTGATGCGATTTTTTTCAATAGATAGAGCGATTCAAAAGAAAGGTTTATACGTATAAAACATATCCGTGCGAAGCCGGGGCGGGTCGCTAGTTATTAATATATTTCACTTGAATATTTATCCCATAAATCTGTTACTCAGACATCTTAAACATACATATAACAAAGTAGATTTAACAGTTTCCCTAAAATATCACCGAGTATTGGCGCTAAAACATTTGGAATTTTATCCAAACGTGTCCGAATCCAATTCGTAAGGACGCTTAATCGTGACGTAACTAAAGCTTAAAACATTTTCACAAGTGTAAAGCAAACAGTGAACAAATCCAATCGGATTTATAGATTGTGATTATCGATACCCGACTACTTAGGTACCTATTGAACAAAATTTAGCAATTACTTACTTATCATTTGTAATAAACGTATTGGCAGTAAATGTGATCGTTGCCGCGATAACTTTGGCTTCGTGCGACGTTATAATTACTTTTATACGATTTGGTGATCGAGTCGATCGAGAGTATTAATCGGTTATTTATAAAACTACATATATAGCCATCTGTGACTCGTAAATTGAACGTTTTTCTACTGCCTCCCATTGGCTACAATCATTAAGTGTGTGCAAATGCAAAAGCAAATTAAAAGAGATGGTAGAATCTTCATTAATGGTTAATTAATTTTTCGTAGAACTTTACGACTTCGGCTAAGTAATTTAGACTTGCTTTATAAAATGAACTAACCTTCTGATATTCTGTAAGTCCGAAGTACGCCATTGCAGCAAGGTTTCTTTTAGCAGAGGCTAGAAGGACTCTGTCAGTCTCCGCTGTGCGGTGCTTGAGGGTTCCATTGTAGCAGCCCACCAGCGCCAGGTCAGCTAACATACGGGTCTGCCGATTGTTTGCCAGGTTCCAGGGACAAGACATGAACTCTTCAAGAGTCACACCACGCCAAGAGTCTCCTGAATAACACGCTGGCACTTCCGCAGCTGAGAACAAAGAAATGAATTCTGCAAATAACTACAAAGAAATATAATTGAGTTAGGATTAAGGGTTTTCATTATACACGTCTTTTGAAAATTTGTTTAATTGGTGTTAGATACTTATATCTACTAATTAGTAAGTTATTACGACCCACGTAATCTCCAATTAAAATTTACGACACCCAGCCAGTAAAGGTGAACTCTATTCTTAGCGGGACACATAGTTTTTGTTAGTTAATTATAATGTCTCTATTACAATTTAATTTCAAGTTAAACAAAAAAATATAATTTTATAAGTAAAATATTTCGCTCATAAAGTTGTAGAAACAACACACAGTCTACATACATTCTGGCTTGATTATAAAAATTGATATATTTTTAAGATAACAAATAAAAAAACTATTAAAAATAAAGGCTTGAAGAAAAACTGGCATCCAAGCTATAGAGTATCCTATAAAAACTTCTAACATAAAAACTTTGTTAAAGCAACATCAACAAGAGTTCGAAAAAACCAAAGTTAATGGAAACATTTTTTATGAAAGATTTCACAGAGTAAATATCAATATATCAAAGTTTGCGATTAAACAATATTGTTACACAAGACGGGAAACAAAATGGCTGACTAGCGAGGAATGTTTGCACGCGACAATATTTTTATTGTTTATCATTTTAATTAATGTTAATGTCTAGAGCTGATGCTTTAATTCCGAGGGAATCAATCGCAGTCACGCATGTTTGCTTTCTCCGCGTTCATTCACAACACATTTATTAAACGTATCTATCATTTGTTCTGTATCATGCTGTTACAGAATGATAGATAGTCTAGTTCCAACTACCAAAAACAACTTCTTAACAAGCTTAATAAAAACACGTCCGATTCCATTTACCGAATTTAATCGAAATCGAGATAAATTGCTGTTGTTCGAACTGTTGGCTTACTTTAAACGCTTTAAAATGACAAAAACATCAAAACGCTTTAAAATCAAAACTATCTTCTTATGAAAACGTTAGTCTTCGCTAAAACTAGGGTCAATTTAAAAAAAATGCAAATTCTGTAACAAAAAGATCCATATGCTTATATAGTATATAGTATTCTCGTCGTCGAGGTAAACCCTCAGACATAACGAGTGCGTCCTCAAATCTCATGAAATTGAAGACAAATAGCTGACACCTTCTTTATTTCCAACCATTTTTGTATCAGCAACAATGTACCTAAAGGAATATCTTACTATATTCGGGTTTGTGTGCGTAAACAAGTACTCGTATCACGCATCGAACTGTTTTATTTAATTCACAAACATTGTTACAAAAACTTGAGTAAATTCCCAATTTACTCGTCGCTGTTGAAGAGGCATTGAAATAAATCTGCCTTTATGCATGACGGATTTTCAGAGCACTGAAAACGTATAAGGACTCTTCAACTTATTTATTTTAAAACATGAACACCACTTAGAAGTTTGCCCTCGGACTCGTAGACCACTAATCCCACATTACTGTGGGGCCATCCTTTCTGATCTTTGCTTCCAATTTACCCTGTGCGTATACCCTCCTAAACTTAACACATTACAACTGAATACACGTCTAGTCCAAAACGTATCAGTGTTGACACAGCTTAAAATCTCGCTTCAGAGTTGCCAGTGCGTAAAGATATGGAAAGGGTAATTAAAAATGATCACCCTGGAACACGCCAGCCAAAAGAAAAGGTAAGAAAATGTTTACTTACAGATTTTTCGATAAAAGCGTTCAAAGGGGCCTTGGAGATCAAAAGAATAGCACGTATGGGGCCATATGGATCCCACTAATATAGACAATATTTTTAGAAAAATACAACACGTTTATTTATAAATATGAACCATTTTATACAAACGCGGAAATGAGTATCTTCTGTGGAGAAAATACACACGCCCGAATTGAGAAGTTCTTCCTTTTTGAGATTGGTTATTAAAGTGTTTTCGAGTTGATTCGACCTTTTCGGTAGTGGAATACGAATTGCTATCCATTATATTCGAGCGGTGTAGGTACCGTAAATATCGACATCCTTTAGCTTTAGAAAAACACAGCTCGGAACAAATCGATCACTATTATATTGAGGCCTTCGTGGTAATTCCGATCTTAAGCTTCATTTGATCATAATGCGCCTGGACTGTAATTGCCAGTACTTTGACAGATCGCAATAACGATAAAATAGATTATAAACGGTTCAAGTATAACGATAGAAACATGATCTATGTAATAATAGGTTTAATTTAATACAGGACACACCGGGCCATAAACTGCTGTAATATATAGTAACTACAATATTACAGCGAATATGTATGAAGCGGTTGAACGAAGACAGTCATAACTAGAGAATGATTAAGTTTATTACAATATTAAACCTATGTAATCTGCATAAAAACTCATTAGTTTGTATAAACAGGAAATATGAAATTGAATATAAGGATTCAGCACTGACAAAGACAAATACATATAATCAAACAATATAATGTTAAGGCTACATCTTTTCAAAAAGTGCAAATATATTTGTAGTTAATCTACCACTACACCAAGCCTGACCCCGGTCCACAGATAAAAATGAATAATACCATTATTATTCTGTGACAAAATAACCATTCGAAGACAAAGTAGGTAAAACTAGAATAGTTCTAGAATTATCTGGAACATTTATCATACCTATTTCTTACGCTTGGCCTGTGGTTTCGCGCGATAAAACCTTCATTGAATGATGAACGCTTTTAGTTGAAGTGGAAAAATGTACCAGACTGTCGTTTTAGCCGCATCTATCTAATGGAGCTTACTTTGAATTTACATCCAGGAGTACCTGGAAAAGGTACCTACAAAAACTCCAACGCAAAAATGCGATGTTAGTGCTTTAACCACTTGAAACTCACTTTCAATCTTTATAACGTGATGTTGGGAATCCTCACTGATTAACGATCACGAACATTGAAATGCAATTGGCTAGACAACCAAGCTGCCAAGAGCCAAGTGAAATCATGGATCATGGTAAATCTAAGCTGAGCAATGCCATATATTGGTATGTAGTGGATATCATATGAATAAATAAGTTGATGCCCTTCAAGTGTTACTCATCCGCACTTACTCATTCATAACGTGGGTGCTAAATCAGAAGTCAACTGGCTGAACTTGGAGAATGCATCCTTAACACTTATTGAAACGACCTCTCATTGTTATGCCCTAACTCGAATAAAAGAATAAAAAGGACGTATATGAATTTATGTGGAAACCAATCATTTTTCAATGATCCCACTCTTTGTGTACCAATGTGCTTCAGACGATACAGTTGTAATTGAGCAATCGTCTGCTGTCGTAGTTGTCGTATCGTTCGATGTCCGTACTAAACAAATATGTATTTTTATGTCTTGTCCAAGACAGGATTGTTTTGTTATATTTTTATTTCGAAATATATTTATATGTTTGAACCATTCCAATGCAGAACAAAACTGTAGCATATGATTTAAATATTTTCGAGATTTTTTATAAAGCATGTAACTACATCTCAGATCTATTAACACTACTCGTTATGTCATATTTTGTATTATGTTTTCAAATTTTCATTCATTTCCCTAAACCATTTTTTTTTTTTTTTGTGAGGGGAAAATCATCAAATGACTTCTCCCGCCCAGGGCCGGGCAGGAGGGAGTGTCAGACTCTTACTGACTAAAAACCCCCCTGTTCCTTCTCCTGCTCTGTGCCGAGGTCGCGGTACCTCATTGCGCTTACCCCGCAACCCCGGCTGAACATCAGCCCTTTAGGGCCCCGTCTGTGGTGGTCTATTGGCTCTTTGAGGCGCGCGCGGAACGCTACGCGCCGTACGCTCGGGCCTGGTTCTGGTCGGGCGGCGAGCTGTCCTTACTCGCCGACCGCAGGCCCGTACTTACGGTGGCCGGAGATCGTCCCTCGATCCCCGACGCCCGTAGTGTCGCCAGTTGCGGCTGCTGGGGCGTGAGGAGGAGGATTGCTCCCTCACGCGGGCCGCCTCTCTCTTTGCGAGCATGACTGCTTCACAAAAGGAGGAGACGGCGTCCCAGTTCCTCTCACTCCGCACCATGGCCTCGACTAAGGCCGGGCGCGAGAGATCGCCGCCGCCGATCACTTCCCTGAGGATACGGCGGTGCTCAGCCCAGGCAGGGCATACCGCTACCGTATGCTTCCCTAAACCATTTAAGTATTTATTTACCTGTAGCAGTTCTTCCCTGGCACCAGTGCCGAGATCCCTTCCACGTGGCGCCGCGTTTCACGTGCCTGTACTCCGACAAGTACCTGGACAAAACAAAACATAAATAAGAAACTGTATCTCTTTCCTCCATAGTAACTTATGTAACTGAATAAATAGCAATTATATACGAGTAATATGAATATAAAATAACCACTATTAACATAGCTAAGGCCAACAATGAAAAGTTGCCAATCGAAGTTGACCTCAAAAAAATAAGTACTTCGACAATTAATTCATAAATTCAACACAAAATAGCCAATAACACCCTAATTGCTCCATCTATCAAATTAGTATAGTATAGTTCGGAATGATAGAAAACCATTATGTAGAGAAACTATGAAATTAAAACCCGCCTACAAGATCTAATGACTATTGTAAACTTAATAGAAAATGTTTGGGAGCACAGACATGATTACAGTAGACTATTATGATTTTGGGAAGCTATAATCATCTAGAATCAACATAAGCAATTTAACAACTACACCAAAAAGGGCACACGTTTAGAAAAAAACGATATCGACTAATATTACGAAGTAGATCAATATAGTCTAATAAAAATATCATTTATTTTTTTACGTGTACGGAATAAAAATATTGTCCAATGATGTAAGCGCTCGCCGAACGAAAATATTGACGAGGGTCGGTGACAGCTTTCGAACACAGCTTATTATGAAGCTAGCTAAATTACGACCCAAGGGAAACTAGCATTTAATGGGCTGTGTGACTCCCCTTTTTACCTGTCAGTAAAACTTTATTGATGTATATGGCTCATTCCCTGGTATTAGACAAACGTGTCTGACTGTATAATGAGGTTCTATTTCTACATCTCGTTTGAGCAGCAAATACGTAAACACAAATAAAAAATACTTTAAACTTTAAAATAATACCCAATTAGTCGATAATCAACGAAGGCAATTATTCGATGTTAAATATCTACAGTATTCCAAGACAAAAATTATTATTTCCCATGTGTTTGCTAGATGGTTCTCAGAGAAGACTCACGCGAAAATGACTTCGTAAAGACTAAGAATTCCAATTTATGCCTCTGCAAACTCGATATACAGAAGCCCAGGGGAATCATTGCTAACAAACGTTTTGTACAGTCATTTCTGATGTGATAGACTGGGAGGTACGCACGTTTACGATTGCATACGTTTCGCCTTCAATAAATTTTATATGAAAAAATTGAACGAGACCACGTGTGCTGATTTAGGAACCACGTTTCTTTAGAAATGTTTTCAAACAGAAAAAAATCAGGAGAATGTAAACGGGGAGTTTATGGTTTGGATTAAACGAAATTACACGTTTACAGCAGCTTAAAGTAAAATATGTGCTATTAAAGGCTGCACATAAGCAAGTATAGTGTAATTAAGTAAGCTAAACCGGGTATATGGAACATTATTCGCAGGTTTAAGCTAGCACCGTGAACCGATCCAATTTAAGGCTACGCGTTCAACACTAATGTAATTATGAGAATAGAATCAAGCTCACTGCACACTATAACTGGTACAGCAACCATACTGAGACATAAAATTCATACTTATTAACTTAAACGCTGCCATTTAATCTTTTAGCCTCTAAAACTTCAGCATATATTCGATCCAAAAGAGATCGCATATCAAAACAGCCGACGCGACGTTATGACTGCTATATTCTATTTGTAACCAACTTTTTCCAGAAACTTCTCTTACCTAGACACAGGTTCCCGTAGCAGCGTGATGTAGAAGTACCGTCGGTGCACTGCAGATCCCTCGTGCCGGTCCAGTTCCCCGCCCACACAAGCAGTCAGTTCCGTAAAGTCGGCATGTAGACCACACCTGGGGACAAACGACAAAGATCTCTTAGCATACAATTTTAAAGCAAAAAATATGTACTGTATGATGAAAAGGTTTTAATGTAGTAACAAAAATAATTTCCAAAAAAGTCCTTGCCAATATAGTTTCTACACACATAAATGTTATGTATTTGCTGCTTCATTCCCGTGTGAATGACTAGTTACGTTAAATATTGCAATAAAGTTCCTCCCCAGAACTTGAAACAACTTATTATGTTTCAGGAACTACACGCTAGTTTAAAATCTTGAACAAACTAAATTATAAAGAGCGTAGTACTTTGTTAAAACTTGAAACGCGATCCACAGAAGTCTGAGAACGTTCAAGTTTTTTTTTTATTGAAGATGCAACATAGTTTAGGTACAACGTCAACGTTTTAAAGTTACCTTACAAGGTGAGGAGACAGCACCCTCAACTAAGACGGGATCAAAAGGTCGATTTAAAAATAAGCTCAGAGCTAGGATGGAAGGTAAAACGGACGCAAATATTTCCCGTCACTGGAATATAAATCGTGGTAGAGACAGGACAGAATGTTCGCTGAAGAGCCGCGTGAAGCGAAGCATGAAGTCACAGATAGGTCGGCTACGACCACGCTCACTGCTCCCGATAGTCGATAGCCGCATCGGAATTGAATTCCCAGCTTTCCAATAAATTCTCACGCTCCCATCTTGTGACGCTTGCTTAGTATTCATAATCCCGCAACGGTGTTCATATTCTATTGAACAGATTAACTGGCTATGCATCAGGGCATAAATTACTTTGATTCAACAATACCGCGCCGATGTTGGCACGCCGAACGCTAGCGTTTCGCTTGATAATGTTGGATAATCGGCATTAGGCCCGCCGCGTTCACGTGTAATTGACATCAAACGATCTCCACATGCCGATGGCGATACCGATACATGATACATTGTTATATAACGCGCCGTAAATGTTGTTTGTCTTTGCTGAGCCAGGTTAATGAAACGACACGGATAAAAATTCGATTTGCATGCGTTTGTCGTAGTTATAAAGGGAAGAGGTTTACCTTTAGTCAGACTGCTCGGCGGCGAGGCGAGGGTTTATTGCAAACGTGCGTTTAATCAAGATACAGAGCCCTGGCTGGCAACCAGCCACACTACACCTTGTCGATACAACTCTGTTTATTACCCTATTCGCTACATTATACTGTCATTCTAATTTCATAGCTATTTAAACCACAATGAATTGTAAATAACTTGGTAAATAATTGCCAACAACCACTCCTATACAAGGTGCACAAATGATATCTAGAACTTGCTGCAATTATAAATTATACGTGTTAATTGGTGATGAATACAATTACCGCAACGTGACTGACTACTTATGCATACTTATGCAACAGAAACTATTATGATAGTGTCAAATCACTAATGTTTACCTACACGTCTGACTCAAAAATGTTTCCATCTGGCAAAAAGCCATCATTTCACTTTTAAATTCGGACTATTCTTGCTGCCATTATCGTTGTTTTAGAAATATCTACATCAATATAAATAAGCATTAATTCACTAATCCTCTTCTTCATCAATATGTTGTAAAACGAACATTTTATTTTCATTGAGGTAAAGAGAAACGAAGTGGTCGTTTATCTTATGTAATTACATTTATAACGAAACGAAATCGCTTCGTAACTTTATTTAAGAAAATAATAACTATTAATTCAGTAAATCATATTGTGTGAGAATGCATGGCACGACCAAAAGTTCCGAGCTCCTCTGTACAAATATGACGTTATCAACGCTTGCAGAGCGCATCGCAGAGAAATGTTGACAAATGTTATTGTCCATTAGCTAGTAGTACAGGCAAAGTGTGACGATAACGGTTCCCGTAGGATATTCGAGCGCGGATTGGCAATACGCCACTTCCCTGTGAACATGTACATACACGCGGCCGAACGAGCTCTCACAGCGGTTCATTCACCGCCTGAATGCCAACAACACACTCGCCCCCGACGCCACGCGTTGAATTAGCTAACGTTTAACAACAATACTGCCAACCTTCCCAAATATATTACAGTCGTTACACATTATCTCGTTGCCGATCTAAATTCCGAGCACAAAAATGTTGCGTTAGATCGTAAGTATCTAGTTTCTAATAACGATATCGTGTGTGCTGCGGGCTGTCCAGACAAAACAATACTTTTTATGAGCACCCTAATCATTGTAAAATCGTTTAAATGTGCCCCGCATTAACGTAAATCAAAGAGCCACGATCATTATTTATCGAACAAAAACGTGATAGTTCTGCTGATCGATCGATACCACCAACCCGAGACCCGAGTACCTAAAGATAGATTGCAGTAAATCATTAGTTTTTAAAAAGGTTTTTAGCAAGCGCATCGCTCGGTCACTGTGTCTTCTTTTAAATATTCACACTGAAGACTGGCATTCACTTGACGTCACCAGGCTATTTGGGCTTAATGTCAGCCATGCATAATTTTAACATCAGATAGACAACCATTTTTCATTTCATATTTTAGAATAGCATCGCGGAGAAGTAGAAAAACGACACAAAATAAAAAATTTAGTATCTTCGTGACAGTAGTTGAAAACAGTAGAGAATTGGTCTTTATTTTTGTGCTAATCATATTTTTACGAAGCATGAGCACAAAAATATATGGAACGAATGAATTATCTTTTTATTGCTTTAAGTTTTTGACATTAGAAACTATATTTACTTTAAATAAACACTTCAAATACATTCGTTTATCATTTCACTTAGCACTTCACATTAACATTTTCAAGAACACAAAACGAGAAATGTAAGTTAAGTTGATGAACGCTTGCAGGGAACCATATACGCACACCATCGCATCTATCATGTCTTCGTTGAATTCCGAAAATAATTAGAACCTCGGTCATTTCATAATTACCGCTGTAAATGTTAGCATTGGAGCGCAAGGCGAGTCTTCCAGTGCGCGACAAAGACAAATGAGATTTGCTTCCGACAGCATGAAAGACAAAGCTAGTAAAAAGCGTAGCGCGGTCGCACTATGCAAGCTAACAAAAGCTATATTGCTAGTTATACCATTTTTCCACGCGTTGTGGATTGCGAAACCAACCACAAACTTTGTTTTCAATTTTCTTCTTTCGTATACAGAAACAGAGTTTAACCGCTCCTATCTGAGCACAGTTGTTGGGAAAATAAAATGTTTCTGCTTTGTATGCGGTTCTGAAAAGGATGCCAACTATTATTACCGAATATAAGAATATCTTGTTTACACGTGAATACGGAAATTTATATTCATTTGGATTAAGTGGTTGGTCCACGTTTAGAGGAATAGCTACTGTATTTTTCGAAGAAAGCCCAGAAGTCAGCGTCGACAGCTGCGCCGAGCAAACATTCAGAAAAAGAATAATGGAGGATCCTATATTAAAAGTGTGTTATATACATACGGAAATGTCGGCCGTCGTCAGTAACGATCTATTGTGTTGGGACAGGCAACGACGGCTGAATAGATATGAATATGTACATCATAATAGGTTATTAGTAACTAATATTGTTATGATAATATCTTCTCCAGTCTAGTATAATAGAACAACTAGTAGAAAAAAATACTTAAGTAAATATTGGTAGACCGTGGAAGGATTCATGTCAAACGAGTTAACTGGTGTCACTCAAAGACTTATTTGTTTGAATTTGGCAATAGTGTAGTGTTACACAGAGGAATATAAAATAAAAAAAGACATAACTGACACGAGCCTACCTCTAACTGAAAGGTAGTTACCGGATTTGTATTTAAGGCAAACATAATCTGGTAATCCCTACAAGCGGATCCTAAAGTGGCGAGACGAGCCACTACCAAAAATACTCGTGTTTCTAGGAGCCCTCCGATGTAACAAATAAAACGAATTTCGTTCCAAGACAGGATGATTGATTTATTTGCCTTCATTGTTTACTCCGAATTATTTCCTACTATTCATGTTTGTATACGTCTCCTCAAATACCTAATCCACAAGGATTGTGCCAAGCCACTTTAATATTAAAACATTTTCCTAATGACACACTTAATCGAGAACCCGTAGTGAAGCCGTGGAGGTAGACTAATTTGATGGCCAGAAAGGATTTCGTCGACCCTCAGCCGTATTAACGCGTTTTCGACATGAGAAGGAAATTACATCTCTTTTTATTCCGTCCCGACGCTCTTTCTCTAATGAAAACCTTCATTGCGGTAATCTTCACATCTAGGGGATTACTCAGTGTAACTTGCTAATTGCCACGTCTCTCGTAATATAAAAAAGAGGTTAGTTTATTATAACTAATTTAGTATTCGTTTCAAGATTGTCAAGAAGACGAAAGACCAATACCATGGCTAATTTTAGGTGTTTTTATCTTAATTTAGAACACGGTCGTAAGCACATTGTACCTCCTTAAAAAACATCTCTTCTGCTTTCCGTAACTTAAGAAAATTGGCGTATAACCATTAGTACTTTACACATTCCCGTGTTAAATTAGCTGGTGATATATTAGATGAGCCACTCATGAGTGCTTCATGACTTATTCCATGTTATTGGCGTTAAATATATTAGGCGTAGGAATACTGGGAATATAGCTGTACGGGCAATTTGTAAATCATCTGTGCTATCTTGCGAAGCGATGAATCCATCTTTCGATAGTAATGAGCCATTAGCGAACTTTAAACCCAATAGCTATCTGCTTAACGAGCATAAGTTATTATTATGCATCACGAGGGCCAATTTATTACAGAACTACTGAATGGAACTTTGTCATAATGAATATGAATGATAAAATAATAAAATGTATGAGTGAGAAGGCAAGCATGACTGCAAGTGTCGTGAGATCAAATGCTAATAAGTAATACAATGTTATTAAACGGATATTATTTACAGAGAGAGGCGCGGCTTTCTTCGAGCACAGATAAGAGGCATCAGAGGAAGCGACGGAAACGCTGCGGCATTATCCGGATAATCCTGACAAGTCGGCCGACAGGACCACGCTAACTC